ACCAAAGTTGTATAAATAGCTAGTTGTACATTTATCTTTATATAAGTTATATATATATATAATTAAAACCAAAAATAAAGATAGTAATTATCATTAATATTAATCTTAGTGAAAACAAAAAAAAATTAACTTTAAATATAAAATAAAAATCAATAAATAATATATATACAAAAATATAATAACTTAGTAAAATAGATAAGTTGTATTTATCTAATAACAAAAATTTGAACAATTATCTATATTATAATAATTATTTTTTATTAATTAGCTAAAATAAAATAGCTACAACTATAGTATAACTGACAGGTTAAATAATATCTGTATAATCTTGATTATATAGAAAAATATAAACTAGATTAGGCAATACAAGCCTAAAATAAGTTTTTATGATTGTATAAATCTGTAAAATTAAGAAAATAAAAACCTATTTAAAAAATTTAAGTAAAAAGATAGCATGAATTTTTTGATAATACTAATGTAAAGGTTAGATCTAAAAAATAAATACCAATATAAAAAAATTAAACAGATAAGAACCTTTAGGTAAGAAATCTCTATACTTGTTATTTAAATTCAAAACTATTATAGTTTGACTTTGTCTGCATCCAAATTTCAAACTTAAGTTTAAATTAATATTTTAAAAACTTTATTAATAATTTTTATTTAAACAAATAATATATATTTTTATAACTATATAAAATTTTTTTATTATTTTAATTTTTTATAAAAATAATTTGTTTTTTTTAAATTTGAAATTTGCTTAGGTCTTGATAATAAGTATAAAGGTATTACTAAACAGACTATTAGAATTTAACTAAAAAAAAGATATTGAGCTAAATTTAATATACCAAGAACAAGTTACAATCTTTTTGAAATACCTAAATTAGAAATCTAAGAATAAAGCAGAAATATACTAAAATATTAAAGATATGCTATAAAGTTAGTACTGAGATTTGAATGAATATTGCAAAGGCATAATCTTGTTAATAGTCTACAAAATAAACAGATTAGTTAACAAAAGAATACACAAAACCTTACAGTCAAGTAATATGTTTTGAAATAAATAATGGTTTAACAAAAATACAAAAAAAAAGTTAAATAGTAGATTAAATAGCATTTAGTTGTACAGAGCCAAATACTATTTATCTGATAAAATATAAAAACTAGAAGATTTAAATAAGTAACTTTCTAGTAAATACAAGTATAAAAACTAGTATAGAACCTTCAAATAGACTACTTAAAATAGACAACCAAAAGTTGCACATATAACTAGTTGTATGCTTATCCTTATATATGTTATATGTAATACGTATATAATTAAAAACACAATAAAGGCCTCACCGTTAAGGTAATAATTGTCATAAACATTAACCTTAAGAAGAATAATATATATATATATATATACAGTATTTATATATATTCTTGTTACTTAAAAAACCCTTATAAAATATATATACTACGTTCCTGGTTAAGCGCAACTGCGTCACGCAGCTCCCTACCAGCATGCAGAGTTGGTAATGAAGCCAATAGAGCTCAAAAACTAGTATCTATTGGCTCCGTTCAGAGCTCCATTGTCTCTATTCGCAGCTCCATGATATTCCATTGCCAATCATGCCAGTAGAGTTGTTAACGGCTTATTCGGAGCTGCATAATGGAGTCAAGTCGACCTAAGCCATTGAGCTGCAGCTTAGGTTGTGGCTTGAGCTATAGTTTAGAACCAAGCTTAGCGATGGCTCAGCTTAAGTTGCGGCTCTTTAATTTTACATAAAGTAAACGTAATCTGCTATCAGAGTATCATGTTTTCAGCAATAGCTATTGGAACCATGGCTTGAGCCACGGCTCGAGCAACTGTGGCTCCAACAGCTATGGCTCAAGCTGGAGCCATGGCTTTCGAGAGCCAAGCCAAGCCATACATGCCGTTAACAACTCTACCTGCCAGTATGCTATATCGATTCACAAACAGGACTAAGAAACAGATATACTAAGTAAAAATGGACGGAACCTAAACCTCGTGTAACCTAAAATAGGGGCCCTAATATTTAAGCCTAACGCTAAGCTTTATCTAAAATTGCACAACTATATGTGGTGAACACTAGTGATTTGTAGTAATTTCTTTCAATTAGCCTAAATAATCGGCCTAAAAAAATCCATTTAGGTAAATTTTAGTAAATTGACATCTGGGCTGTCGCAATTGACAATTAGGACAAATTTAGATTTGGGGCACAACAATAATACCGCATTTTTCCGATAAATTAATTTCTGCTGCAATACCCTTTAACTCGCCAAATTGCTTTAAAAGAAAAGTACTATGAATATTATGAGTATTTTGACTAATTAATATCATGTAATTTTCATGTCGACTCAGTCGATAAGGCGAATCGAGTACAAATATTTTCGAATCACCTATTCAGAATAGTACCATATTAATTTATGACTACATGTTATATTGCCTATACTTTCCATGCAGGCGGTAGTTGGAGTTTCATCAATTCGCGAGTCAACATTTATGTGCCATAAATATTTACTTGGCTTCACATAGAGAAATGATGATAAAAGGCTTATTTTAGATAGTACAAGTTCGAAAATAGGATAGGAGACAACTATTATGATCAATTGATATAACGATAAATTGACGAATTACAGTATTACTATCTAAGCCCTAATAACAATAAATAATATTAAGTTTAAATATTCGACAGTATTACATTATCGCAAAATAATGCCCGGGCGTTATTTTGAAACAATTTAATGAAAGAATTAATTTATCTGAAGAATTTAAATTGGTTCTCTTCTGCTAAATAACGCTCCAGTGCGTTAAGATAATATAATAATAACGAAAAGTACGAAGGAGCTATTGAGTCCATCATAATCTGAATCTTGCTGTTATTATGAATCCTGCAAAGGGAAAACCGTAATTACATATCTAAATTTTCACGGTGCCGGACATAAATTTGTAATATGTATTATGTAATTGAAGCAGACTAAGGTCAGTGTTCTAATCGGTTCGATAGTATCTTGAACGAACAGGAGGAAACGTATCCGATCCAAACTGTGAGGGATTATATTTGTAGCATTGGCGGTTAAGTGATTCATCATAAGCTCTACTTGAACGACTTGCAAGCAATTTGTGTGCTGAAACATTGATCGTACGGTGATTAAATTACGTAATCTCACAGTCCAATACTGTGAAAATTTAAGTTTATAACAGTAAAATGACCATACAGCATACCAACCAGCCTTGGTATACATTTTCTGAACGCCTATCAGCATACTCCTTTCCATCTTTTGTTGTCATTTATTATCAAAAATAATTTAAAAAGTTACCAGGTAATTAATATTCTCGTGAAACGAAATCAGTGGGTCAACCAGGTTACTTGGGTTGAAGATGTTATCCTGCCTAAACAGGTTTAAGTTGTTTATACACATGCATTATTTGTTTATGCTTGCCGAACATTTTAATTTGAAATCCGTTATGTATCGAATTTGTACGTACGCCTTGTTTGCATGCCTTGATTGCTTTGTGCATTTTTGAAACAGACCAACCAATTGAAGTTCGCACCACTTTTTTGCCATATGTACATCGAATACATGAGCAACATATTATCGCAAAGAAAGACGCATAGATTCATTTAATTAAAAGGTTGGATTTCTTAAATAATTCACGTGATTAAAACGCGTTTGGATACATATCTAAATTTAGAATATCCCAGATTGTGTGACCCGGTATTAGTCTTATAAATGGATACGTAGTAATCCAGATCTTAAATTTTGTATCAGGTCTATCTGTGCAGCACTAAACAGAATTCAGACAGATCCTTATACCTTGTCCAAAATTAGAAATATTAGTGCTTGCGATGAAAGTTTCGATCCGCATCTTTAACGAGATTTTATAGATTATTGAAAAATTGAATATCGATCATACGCAAGAATAGCGAACTCATATTTGATTCCATGTGCGCAGAAGAGTTGTGTTTTTGGAAATATTTTGGGATTACTAAAAATTAAGACAATTCAAAGCAGATGGATGATGGCTCTTTAGAAAATGATCAGGTAATGTGGTTCAAACTTTATTGATGTTATACTGATACTATATACTGTATTTCATCATAAATTTTCAGTTATAATTAACTAAACAGTTAAGGTTAAGAATGCAATTACAGGGATCACAAAGTTTACGTACCATTTACGTAATAGTTACCAGGGCTAAGTGATCACATTATCGGAAATAAATCATGATCTTCAATTGTATTACATGGTGACCGCGAGAGAGGAGTAATAATAACTTATCATTGTAAATTACTTTGTTAAGAATTTAGTTTATGGACATGCATCCAATATAGATACAATATTTAATTTCCTAGATCTATTTTTTTTTTCACGTGCAAAAGCGAAAAAAATTCCTAGCTCCAATCAAACTAGGAATGACGCCCTTTGAGATGTCTTCATATAACCATATTTGGTATTTTGGAGTAGAAAGAAATATTTTAAAGTTTGATTAAGTGCAAATTGCTTCGTTTTAACGTTTCGAACATATACTTTAAAATTTTATGTTTCATGATAAAATTTGCCCAAATTTATAAGGCAAACCGATAATCCGAACTAAAAACTAAACGCCCTTCGGCTACATTAGGGTTATGGCCACACAATACAATACGCCTTTGCTTACACATTTTTGTTGAATCCTTGAATCTATAATAATAAAGTTTCACAATGTTAAAAAATGCACAGGTGCGAGATGTTATTTCTTTATTTACTGATTTACAATATATCAACAATTATTTATTTTTGTTTGAAATGGAAATAAATATTTTGTCAACTCAGGTTAAAAATATAAAATGACACAAGTATTTATTAATTATCGTTTTTTTTTTTCGTCGAATTTGTCTTCTTAACTTTCGAAATTTAACTAATAAAAAAAGAAGAAAAAAAAATTTATACCACTGTTTAAAAAAAAGGAAAATATACTTTCTTATCCAATAAATTATGTAATATATTTGTAAAAAATGACGACCAATGCAACTGAACAAGTTACTACCAGCTCAGCCACATCGACACTTATATCTGCACTGATTTTTAACACAGCAATTACTGCTGCTGCATTCATTACTTTTGATTTAATAAGAAAGAGGAGTACTAAAATTTTCGAACCAAAAACTTACTTGGTTCCCGAAAGGTAATGTTTCTGTCTATCAATGTTAATTTGTAAATGTTTAATGTAATTCTTTTTTTCTAACTATTTCTTATCTAAAGAAAACGTGCGCCCCCAGTTCCTAGCGGGTTCTTAAAATGGTTGAAGCCGGCCTTAATGGCGTCTGATGAAGAGCTCATATTACGAGCTGGGTTGGATGGATATATGTTTCTTCGTGTTATTCGGTTTTTCATGATATTGTTTGCTTCATTCTCGATATTGGGTATTGGTTTGATTTTACCTTTGAATTATATTAATCAATATGATAAACCTGGATTGGAAAGTTTTACCATTGGTAATGTGAAGGATAGAGAGAGACTATATGTTCATGTGATAACATGTTACATTTTTACCGGTAAGTTATTGATTTGAATTGTCATCGTTAAAACTATATAACAATTATATAAAAATTATATAACAATTACACGAATTGTATTTATAGCTGCTATTCTTTATACGATGTATCGTGAATATTACTTGTATGTACGATTACGTCACGAATCTCTTACAACGCCAGAGCACCGTATATCCGCACGTGCGACCACCATATTGGTTGTTGGTATTCCTGAACAACTTAATAATGAAGAAGATCTAACAAACCTATTTAGTGTGTTTCCTGGGGGTGTAAAAAGAGTTTGGATTAATAGGTGATATTTCATTGAGCAAAAAGTTTCTCAATTTATGATAGTATTTAACTAACGTAAAATCTTATATTCGATTTATTTAGAGAGCCATCTAGACTAGTAGATCTTACAGTTAAAAGAATGAATCTGATTCATAAACTTGAATGTGCCGAAACAGATTTTCTTTTAAAATATTTAAAAAATCTTGCAAAGGATGGTGAATCAGAACAAGACGTAGAAGACGGAAACAAAGTTCCTGCATCTCTGCGTCCAATCCACAGAACAATTCCTTTGATCGGTAAAAAAGTGGATTCTATTGAGACGTATCGCGAAGAGATTCAAAAACTTAATGGAGAAATTAATGAATGGCGGCAAAAGATAAATTCTTTTAAGAAGCTAAAATCTGCATTTATTCAGTTTAATGATTACGTTGGCGCTCAATTGGCTGCAACTTTGACAATCCCACGATTAACAGAAATATCACGAGAAGACGTTATTTGGGAAAACCTTAATATCCCGCGTATACAAAGGGCATTTAGAAAAGTAGTAAGCACCTCAGTTACGACAGCTTTAATAATTCTTTGGATCATACCTGGTAATTATAATATTATATAAATTATTATTATACAATTGGTGTTTAACATTTTTAATATTTCTTCCTTATTTTGTCTTACGATAATTTCATTTTCAGTCTTATTTGTTGCATCGATTAGCACACTTTCCCAGTTAGAAAAGGTAATTCCCTTCTTAACTCCACTCGTAAACAAACTTCCTGCAGCAGCAATTGGCATCATTCAAGTAAGTACGATTACATTATTATTCAAATATTATCATTATTTCCAATCACATGTAAATATTATATATTCGTTTTTTAAATTAATATAGGGTATCCTGCCCGCTATTGGCTTGGCAATTTTGATGATGAATTTGCCCGTAATTCTGAGAGGTATGATTAACTTTGCTCTTTCATTTAATAATAAATATAAAAAAACAATACCTTTATTATTATTACTATTTGTAGCATTGTCAAAATTTGAAGGATTTGTTAGACATTCTGCTGTTTCTCTAAGTTTGCAAGAAAAATATTTCTTCTTTCTGGTCAGTTGCATTCGACTTTGCATTTATTTTAAATATTCGCTACTATTAATTTTATAAAAATTTTAGCTTATTAATGTTTTACTGGTTACTACTTCCGCAAATGGTGCATTCCAAGCTCTTCCTGAAATTATTCGTAATCCAACAAGCATCGTATCTAGTCTTGCTCAAAATCTGCCATTAGCGTCAACATTTTTCCTTACTTATGTTCTCCTTAGTTTATCTGCTGCTGCATTTGAAACATTACAAATTGGAACTTTGGCTATGTATTTATTAAGTAAAATTCTTCTTGTTAAAACTCCTCGTCAAATTTTGCAACTTGAAACATCTTTAACTTCTAAAGATTGGGGTGTTACTTTTCCGCCACATATTTTGATGGCCTCAATCGGTAAACTTTTCGCTTATAAAACTTAATTAATGTCACATGATAAATAACATTACCAATTATTATATTAAATACAGGTCTTGTTTACTCTGTGATTCAACCTCTGATTTTGCCACTTGCAACGTTGCACTTTGCATTATTCTATGTTGCATATCGGTACAATTTTTTATATGTTTACGAACAAGTCCAAGAAACCAACGGTGTTTTATTCTTACATGCAATGAAACAATTTTATTGGGGAATATTAATTTTTCAATTAACTATGATCGGTCTGATGTTTCTTAATGAAGCATTCGTTGCTGGTGTACTTTCGGTAATCTTATTTGTCATCACACTTGGCGTAATTCTTGGTATGAGAAATCATTTCAGTCATAATCCAAAAGCAGAATTTTTACCTGTAGACTTGATGGGTATTATCGACATTAAAACGAGGAAAGTTATTATTGACACGGAACATTTTACAAAGTCGATTTCCACTGTTACAGAAGAAGTTGATGATGAAAAGGCAGATCATGAATTCATAGGGTCTACTAGCAAACAAGTTTCTGAGAAACCTACAGAGGTTTATGACGAAGACACTGACCAAAATGAAGTTCATATCAAGCATGGAGAGTTAGAAAAAGAAAGTGCAAATACATATATACATCCAGCTCTTATAGTTAACAACCCTATAGTTTGGATACCAGAAGATAGTGCAGAGGTGTATATAGAGGAAGTTAGAACATGTCGAGAAAGTGGATTAAATGCAACAAGTCGAGGTGCGACAATAAGTGAAAACTACAAAATTAAAGTGGACATTACAGAAGCTCCTAATCTCAAGGATGAACTTTATGCGGAAAGTTCGGATATAATGTTAAAATATACAGCAAATGTGACTGATTAATCTTTTTCATTATTTTGATTGTTGAAAAAGAAATTCAGTAATCAACGTATTTTATGTATATTTCAGCGTATTCGGAGAATTATCTCTGTAATATCCTGTTCTTAATAAGTGTATGCGAGATTATTGAAAAGGTTTGTCAAGTTTTTATGCAATAATTATGTTGCTAAGAAAAGCTTGATTAATTAGTTAAAAATTCGTAAAATAGCTTTTGAAAATTATAATTTATCAAATTTTGTAATTTTGTAAATAAAATTTCATATACCAAAAATTTTTTAACTAAAGATTGCAATTTTTCTTTTTTCGAGGTCAAATATCAGGCTATCGGTGTGACCCACGTATATTTGAGATTGAATGTCTTATTGACAAACGATCAAATCCGATTGTTTTTTTTTTTGCTCCATGTTCTCAGCGATATTTATATCATAAAGCTAAAATATTGGCATATGCGTGTTTCTTAATGATCTCATTAGAAATTACTTTCATGCTTGTATATTTTATTGTCTTTTTTAAAAATGTGAATTCCTTGATATGCTTTCATTATTACATTTATGATTTGTGGGTTTATTTTTCTCTTTTTCGGATCGATTGGAGGGTGGGAAGGCTTTTATGTGACAGGCAGACGCATGATCATTAACCAATAAAAACAAAGAAATTTAATAATCAAAATTTTGCGCACAGAAAAAATTAACATTCTGTAAATAGTGCACACAGTTGCAAACAGTTGCTTGTTTTTTTTTTATTTTGCTGCACAGAAAAGTTTCTAAATTGTGCAGCATCCACAATAAATTTTAACTGAAGAATTAACACTGAACGAAAACCTTTAACCATTATCTTCATTATAAATACATTTCTACCTTAGTATATGTTATGAATTGAACGACACCCATATTCTAATTCAAACTACATTCATGCATGCCGGCCAGCTACAATGATATTAAACCAAAAGTTTAAGAGTTTTAAGAGTTTAAAAGAATTTTAAGAGTTTTAAAAGTTTTGAGTTTTGAAAGCATTAAAATATTTTAACACTAAAACAAACGATTTACAAAGGTTTTTGGATCAAAGCTCAATAGTTAAAATACTTATCTACTAAGCAAAATATTTAAGAGTAATGAAGCAAAAAAAAATTAGTTATTTCGTGCAATTCTGAACGTATCCTTTTGATTTATCTATGTCCTTGATGACCGAAATTGTGATCTTGATGTATTCATAACAGAAATATCAAAGACATAGTTTCAGTATTTTCCGTTTGTAACGCACCTGAAAAATTTGATCTGCGATCACAGAAAACAGCAGAATTTTTCTTAAAAACAGCTAATAATCTTTAGTCATCACAGAATACTACAAAATTCTAATAAAAAAAAATAGTGTATATTTCAAAGAATTCTATAATATTGCAGTATTTGATCATAAATTCAAATTGGGCATTAGAAAATCCTGAAAATGTAGATAAATGTAATTTATGAACATGTTTGTTAGAAAGTTACAGAATTTTGTGCATTTTATATTTTAATCACATCAAATCATAGAATACATTTAAAAAACAGCATGGTATTACAGAATTTTTCTTAATCAAAAACAGAAAATTATTGACTCTGAGCTAAGATTATTAAACATATTAAACATTAAACTTAAACTAATACAGTATTAGAGGTTAAGAGGACAAGTACAAAAATAAAGCAAATGTAATAAATTATTGCTTGAGAAATGGGTATATTATGTAATATTTCTCAAAGAGTAGTAGAGACAGTTTTATAATTTGGCACAGACTTAGGCAGTTTTTAAATATGTTACAAGAGTAGCATTTTAAATAATGATTATTTGAAAAAGAGTCAATAGAAAAGAGACAAATCATTTTTAGTAAAATTTTTTTAATTTTTAAATTAAAATAACTTAATAAAATAGTTGTTGAGATATTTAAGCTTAAAGTTAAAAAAGTTTTTATTTAAAAAAAATTTGTTTATTTATTTGTAAATGAAGGTTTTTATTAATAAAATTTTGTTATTTATTGTTATGAATTAACATGAGGACTGGTCAAATTAAGGCAACCATGTGATTTTTATTTAAAAATTTTGTATTATAAAAAACTAACTTGAGGTAAACCATGTATTGAGTTCTAATAATACAATCTCAAATTCATACTTCACTAATACAAATTGCAAATTCGCATCTAACAATCCTATTCTTAAAATTCTAATCTTCAAAAACTTAAAAAACCAAACTAAAATACTAATTTTATTAAACAAAAAAATCTAAGCTAAAAACTAATTTAAGCAGAAAAAATTAATTCTTTAATATTTAGAAAGGTGATACAGTTAATGAAAATAATATGACTAATAGAGATGATACAGCTAATAAAAGTAATGTGACTAATAAAGGTGACATAACTAAAAAAATAAAATAAAAATAAAATAAAAACAATAAAATAATAAACATGTACATATGCATAAACAAGTTTAAAAATAGCAAAATTACCTTTTTTACTATTTTTTTTAATATAACAAATTCTTTTTACTAAAAAACACATAGTACTACTTTTAGAAGTTTTAACAATCATAGTTTTATTATTGTTTGTTATACTAATCACAGTTCTAGTCTTCTTAAAGTTAGTTTGAATCTTTCTTTTTCAAATTGTTGAGTTCATATTAGTATTAGAAGTTATGGCAACTAGCTAACCAGACTTATAGAAGTTATTGTAGTAGTGAACACTTGAATGTTTTTGTATTTGTTTCCTAATTGTATTAAGTTGCTTATTAATCTTATTATAAAGAGCTAAAACCTTCTCTAGATAATTTGTTACAGATTGTAATGTTATTAATGCTTTTTATATTTCTATTTTCTAAATATTAACTAGATTAGTTGGATTAAATTACTAATATATACTGAGAAGTTTATAGTCAAACATTACTTTATAAAGAGTTTTTCCATATACACTATGTTGAGTAGTATTATAAAAAAAAATGAATTTTAGTAAATAATTTTTTTAGTTTATGTTTTGTAACTGCAAGTCTTCTTCTACAACATTTTAGTAAACTTGTATCCAACTGTCTGATTTAAACATTCAATTTAATTTTGTAACATCAGATGTCTTAAACATCTATGCTAAACTATAATTTCAAAAACTTCACAAATATGTTTGATAACATTTGCAATAAACTTTTTGCTATTATCAGATTGTAAAATTAACAATATGTCTCATTATGCAAATAATGATATTAAAGCTTCATCTACTGCATTGGCCTCTTTTGTTCTAAGTAAGATAGTTTATAAAAATTTTGAAAAGATACAGACATAATAAGAAGCTAGAAAAATCTATCATTCATTTTCTTATATGCTGTAAAATCAACAAGTTCTATTTGAAAATATTTTATTAGACTATAACTTACAACTAATATTAGGTTATCCTTTTTTTAATTAAAGTAGTTTGATTACAGATGTTGCAATTTCAAATATATTTACAAACTTCCTTTTTTGTAATATTAATATATTGCATTATTATCTTTTTATAACAGTTATTTGCATTAATATAATAATTATTGTCATAAAATTAGTTAAACAAAGATTGCTGAAACTCCAAGTTCTATATAAAAACAAAATATTAAAGTAGTTGAACCTTAATTTGAACATAAAGATAACTGTTTTCTAGCTATTATAGTTTTATTTTATATTTAAAGTTTTATCAATTTTTGAATTTTATTAAGATAGGTATAGTTCTACTATGAAGATAAATAATAATATTTTAATATACCTTAAATGTTTGGTAAAATTAGCTTTATTAACTATTTTATGAATTTTTTTCTTTTTTTTTTTATAAAAAAAAAAATTTTTTTTTCATATTAAAATATATATATATATATATTTTTTTTATATTTATAATTATAGAATTTTATTATTATATTAACAAATATATCATAAAAATCAAGCATAATAATAATAAATATATAAATTTCATTAAAACAATATTTAATACATACTCTTTCTGCTGATTACTTGTACACAAAAACTGACAGAAGCAATTTGAAAGGTTTTGTAAAAATGACTGTCTTATTTAACCCTACAGGCTTAAAGAAAAAGATAGAGATTGTGTTAAAGATATAGCAAGTTAAAAAACAAGTAACTAGGTTACTTGGTAGTAGAGATAGAGACAGAAAACACTTTACTTGAAACTTGAAAAAGTAAATTGGGAAAATTTACTGTAACTTGGAAGCATAGATCTGTTGATTACTACAACATGTGAACAGACAAACAAAACAAACACATGCTTAGATAGACACATATACAAACCTAATTAGAATAGTAAACAGCACACAATATAAAAAATTTAAGAACAAGTGAGAAATAAGCAAGAAATACTAATAACAAGCCAAAAGGATAAACATCGTACAAAGCCAAAAAGAAAGTCTAATATTAACTTACATCAAAAGAACATACTTGGCAATAAATAGCATACACAACAAAGTGTTCTTCAATTAAGCAAGCAAAAATTATGCAATATCAGATAGAGAGAATAAGATCGTTGCTATGTTAACAGAACAAAACCCAACAAAAGTTGCTTTATAAAAGAAATAATTATATAAGCAGAAAAAAAACTACCAGAAAAAAAGATTAGTATAAGTAAACAAAATAAAAATAAGTTGACAAAAGAGTTCACAACAAAACAAATGCAAAATAAAGAAAAAAAAATATAACAGCAAGTCTTAATAGTAAACAGAAATCAAAGAAAAGCATATGTAGCAATACAAAAAAATCAAAAATAAAGAAACAAGTAAAAGAAATATACAAGATAACATGAAAAACTTACAGAAAACAGTAAGTATAAAGTTAAGTCAAGCAAGTACTAAACAAGAAGAAAGTAGCACATTTACTAACAAAAAAGATATAGAAGAACAAGAAAAACAAGAACAGAAAAACACTGAGACATATAGAAGAAACTTAAAACTAAGCCCAGGAATAGAAATAATAGAAGAACAAATAACAAAGAGATTACAACTAGAAAGAGAAAT